ATAGACCACTATTAAATTTATTTCTAAAATGTTTGATTTTGACGACAAAAAAGTATTTTTTCTACTTTTACAAGGAACCTCGTATCTTTAATATTTTTTTGAGTTGAGTAATTTTGCTTATGCCATGTCATGGTGTATCATAAAAGAAAAATAGACCACCTAAGGTAAATTTATTGACAATGAAATGCAAGCAGCTGTTTATGCAGTTCTAAATGGTGGTACATTTTATCATGTATCTAAGGGAAGGAAATAAATTTACTTAAGACACTTAAGAGATATGTAAAGAAATATCAATTAAATCCAAATACAGAAGTTACGTACGTATGACATGACATTGGTACATATGTATGACATGACATTGGTACGTACGTATGACATGACATTGGTACGTACGTATGACACGGCGTTGCTATGTACGTAGGACATGACATTGGTGACTATGTATGACATGAGCAAATGCTTTTAATCATTATACAGTTGGAGAATTTTTCTCCGATCTAAAATATTTACATCTGCAAAACAAGTTTCAGCCATAAAACATTTATAAATGCAAAATGTATATATATATATATATATATATATATATATATATATATATATATATATATATATATATATATATATATATATATATATATATATATATATATATTTTAAACAGCAGTAACAGTGACAATACATTAGAATCACATTACTTTAAAGAGATGTCTTGCAGTTTTACTTCAGGAAATAGTAAAGAAGTCATTTCATACTTTAACAACTGGGGAAATGTTGAGCCTCAGTAAAAAAATAAACATTTTTAAAATTGATTTTTATTGATCTTTTCTTCTCTTAAGAAAGATAAATTTGAATAAAAATTAGTATTAACTTTTAAAGTTGGTTTTTATTATAGACAGTTTTGATGACTTGAAAATAATTCTTACACATTCATGGTATAAATTTGACCTAGGATCAAATATACATGCATAGGATCAAGGGCGCATATAGGTAGGATCAAGGGAGCATACTGGCATGCACCCTTGATCCCAATTGAGTGTTTTTAGTTTTTATAATTTAAAATCTACTTAAGATATTCTGTCAAAAATGATTGTTAAATTATAGTAAGGTATAAAATTTCTTATCATGTACTGTTACTTTAGAGATCAAAATGAAAACTACGAAAACTTCAGTAAATGAAAAATGTTTTCTGCTTACAACTATGTGTGATGTAAAAAAAAAGAATTTCGGTGTTAATAGATTTATATTTTGGGTATATATGAAGAAAAGTATTGTTTATATATGTTAATATTTCTCATATTACACAAAACATGTGTAATTTAGATTTTTATTTTTTTTATTTTTATTTTAATTCACCTCCTCAAGGCCGAAAAGACCACTACAGACGAGGAGGCTACTTATTTGTGGTTATAACCCTCTCTCAACTCTATGACTCCGAAACACGGACCTTGATGAACAAGGCCGCTGACGGAGAAACGAGTTGAGCGCAGTACTACCAGGGACGTGGTGGGGATCGAACTCGGAATTCTCAACAATATACTTGTCATTTGCTTGTATTACTTGCTTGCTCTACAGAACCTACTTATTTTAAATCTTACTTGTTTAACAAGAAACTCGATATGTTAATAAGCATTATACTTTTTAAAAAAAGCATGCCAACTTGAGTCGCTATTGGTCAGTTAAAAAAATTTAATTTAATTTTTCAGTTTTGGCCTCACGAGTTTGAAATTTTCTGAGATGATAAAATAAATAAATCAATGTATGTTACATAGTTTAATGTTTCACTGTATTTTTTAAAATGGGCCTTTGCAAGAAAGCCACAAACAAAGGAGAAAAGATACAGACTAATCCCAGAGGGCTACTATTTCTTCTAAAGTATCCTGTCATGAGTTGTCCATGAACCAGCTCCCCAGCATTGGAAATGTACTTAGATATATACAGTTTGGCAAATCTCAAATGTCTTTGAAGTTTAAATCTACTAAGCCTGTAGCTTGTTCTCTTACCTGTAAGTATGGATTTTTTTAAAGATCTCAACCATAGATGTGTCACTGCTCTTGTAATAGATGTGTGGAACAAAGCTGGTTTTGGAGAACCAGCATCTTGACTCTCTTGTAATAGATGTGTTCCACGCATCTATTACAAGAAAAAATAAGCAACTCACATCTATTACAAGAGAGAAAAAATAAACAACTCAACAACAACAAAAAAATTTAAATACAAACCTAAATAAAAAAGTAAATTATACATATAAATTAAATTACATAAGAAATGTTTTTTTAAGGGATAAGATTATGAAAGCAGGTGTGAATCTTGATAATGTTCCCATTTCCAAAAGCTCTGTTCATCGAAAGAAATTCAAGAAGATTGAAGATCTAGGTAAGAAGAATTAGTAGAGCAAAAAGCTAGGATAAATAAAAATTTAATTACATAAGTGGTACAGTTATTTTAATTATTAGGAGACCAGATAAGACTAGATATAATGGAAACTTTGAGGGGACAGAGACTTGTCCTGCACTTCGACAGCAAAAATATTAAAGAAATTGAGGAGAATTATAATTATTACTGCTGAAAGAATTTCTGTTACTTCATAACACAACTGATATCCTCTTTAAAATAGTTCAAGCTGAAAGCTCCAAAGGAATTGATAAGGCAGATATAGTCTTAAATCTCCCAGAGTATTACAAAATTGTTGATCAAATCTTTGCCATATTTTGTGACACCACTTCTTCCAATACTGGAGTATTTCTTAGCACCATTACTATTTTCACATATATGACTAAGAAGGTAGCCCATGTAATAAATGAAGAAGAGAAGATGGTAAAGACAGCATTGTTTCTCTATGCTATGGACCCTGGTTCTTAAAAGCTTATATGACAAGCTAGTCAACTTTAAATGATTTGGCTTCCATTTATGTTATTCAAAATAAGGGACTGTTACCCAAAATTAGGATTGGTTCTACTTGTCAATATGCAGCAGCATGCTTGGCACTTAACTGAACAGTTATACTGGCCCAAGCTGATGATGATATTAAAAAAAGGTAAGAAGATGTTGGAGACAAAGAAAAAGGAGAAGATGTTGGTTCAAGTGTGATATTAGTTACAATATTAGGAGATATTAGTGATATTAGGAGAGAGAAGTGGATCAAGAGAAATGTTTGATTTATTTAAAAAGTTTTTAAATAAATAAAAGATAGTTTTGCATCACTTTTAAATAAACAAAAATAATTTTTTAGTTTTTCTTAGCCTATTTAGACCATAGAAAATGGGAAAAGCTTGAGAGGTTTTTTATTTAATTTATTTTTTATTTTTATTTTTAGGGAAGACACCCTAATACTTATATTAGCATATTATATGCTAATATTGAATGCTGAACAGCAATTACTTACATATGTTGTAAAAATATATGCTTAAAAATCTCTTGTTTCTGCTGCTTATTTCTCACAAACTATACGCTTAACATAAAATTTATTCCTCACAAATTGTAGCATGGTATTTATTCCTTGTAAATTGTGCCTTTAGCATGATTTTTTAATTTAATTATGTCTAGAATTACCTTTTGGCTTTTACAAAAATTGCAATAACCAAATTTTATAATTGCAAGAATTTTATCACCCATTCTAAAAATTTAAAAAAAAACTGGTTTTGTGTAAAGAAATATAGTATAAAACTTAGACTAGGTACAACACTCCTAGGGAGGAGGAAGTTTCTGTGATCAATTGTAATATTAATTATTAATCCATTAATTTTATTGGTATAATTTGTAAGGATTATGAAAGTAAAAGACAGTAAAGATGCCAAGTTCAAGAGTCCACGCTTAAAAACCAAGACCAAGGCTCAAAGCTATAGGATCCAAAAATAGAAATTAGAACCAAGACAGTTTAGGGGTCGTCCATAAATTGCATCATACTCTCAAAGGGGGGGGGGGTGTTAGTGGTTTTGTGACGACATACAAAACTTGTTACTAAAGTGTAACAATTCTGTGACAAGCAGGCAGTCGAAATTAGTTGAAAATTGCATGACATCTAAATAAAATAAGCTAAAAATATTTTTAAAAAAAACGTTGTCAAAAAAGTATTATACCTAAATATTTAACTGTTTTTGTTTTCATATTTTTAGGGCATTTGCCATTTTTCACTACCAAAATTGATACAAGTCGAGGAAAAAAGTAGATTTGAATATAACAAAAATAAAAATATTTTTTGATATACAATTTGCTTACAACTTATTTCAGTCAGTATATTAAGGAAATACTTTATTATTTGCGCTAGAAACATCTACAAATTTTTAAATTTGTTTTTCAAATAGTTTTATTAAACTTTACTGTTTTTATCAATGCACAGGAAGCAAGAAAACTAATTGTTATTTATTTGTTTAAAAAAAAAAGTTTTTTTTAACAACTTTTTTATGTAAAAAAATAAAAAGTCATTAATACTTATTTTTAGATATAAATTTTTTTTTTTTTTTAATTATTTTATCTAGTATTTATTCAAAGTAATTTTTTCGCTATTTTTGTTTTAGTGTAAATAGCAGAAAAAAATGAATTTTTTAAATCGCGCAGGTTAAGTTAAAAAAGCGCTTTATAGAGCGTTGGTATTAAATTTCAAATGGGGAAGAGTGATATATATATATACATAGGTCTCGGTGTGAAGCGAGAGCTAAAGCTACAGGGGTCTATGGGAGCAATTTATGGCTATTGCAAAAGTTTAATTTTTTTTTTTCAAAAGTGTAGTTATCATTGTAACTAAAATACATAATAAATAGTAATATCCTAACTTTTAAGTCAAAAATATTATCCTTTAAAAAAACAGGATAAATTTAGTGATTACCACAAAACATGTGTTGTTTACTTTTATTATAGTTTATTTCAAAACTAGGTTTTATTAGACAATCATATAATTTATTTATACTTTTGTTTTTATCTTATTCTTTTTATTTTTATAATTTTTTTTTAAAATTATCAAATTAAAAAATAAAATTATAAAAACTAATTTTCATTTTTTATAGCGAAAGTGAACCAAAGCATACTTATAAAGGTCACAGAAATTCTGACACAGGTAATGTTAAGAGTAAAATAGAATTACAAGATTAATGATGCATTGTTTTATAGAAGAATTAATTATTGTGAAGAGGTAAATAATATTTGTAGAGAAATTCTAGAAATTAAAAGTAAATAATATTTGTACAGAAATTCTAAAAAATTAAAGGTAAATAGTATTTGTAGAGAAATTCTAAAAAATTAAAGGTAAATAATATTTGTACAGAAATTCTAATAAATTAAAGGTAAATAAAATTTGTAAAGAAATTCTAAAAAATTAAAGGTAAATAATATTTGTACAGAAATTCTAGTCAGAATCTTTTTATTGTGGTTCTTCAACTTGTGTTTTTATTGTGGTTCTTCAACTTGTATTTTTCAAACTAAATGAATTTATAAGGAACTTTATAAGTTGTGGATTTGTTGGTGGAGTAATGAAGTGGTAGTGTTATATTTATTGGTTGTGTAATGAAGTGGTGGTGTTGTATCTAGTTGCGTGGTTTCTTTATAGATTCGCCTGACAAACTGATAAAATGGTTATATTTGTAATAATCATTTAATTGGAACATTACTAGATTATTATTATTTTTTGTTAATATTTTTTCAACAAATAAAACATTTTTTCAACAAATTATTCAGGGTAATAGGCTAGTTTATAGTATAAATAGCTAAAGTATATAGTAAATAGGCTAGAGTAAACTGTTAGATTTTCAAGCTCTTTAAAATCCTTTATTTAAGAAATAAAACTTCCAAGAAGCATATTTATATAATCTGAAGAATCAAAGTTGGCACATATTTTATTTTTTTTAAAGGTTTTTTTCAGCAGCTCATGTAATTTTTAATTTTTTTGTATTAGTAAAAGGAGTAAACTTTCTTGGATCGCGTAGTGAATATATTGTCAGTGGAAGTGATTGTGGTTATATTTATATTTGGCAAAAAGATACTGAAGAAATTGTCAATTTCTTACATGGTGATAATGTTGGTGTGGTAAATAAAATTTTTAAACATTTTTTATAATTTTTTTTTATTTAAAAAGTAATAAACAAAGTTTTTGCTTTTAATTCAAAAAATGTAAATTGTTTGTAGACAAAATCCATGATTTTGAAGCCATACTAAAATTTACATTACAAATTACAGTATTTTTTTTTTTTCTTGACAGAAAAATCAAATAACAATTGAAATAGAAAGTAATCATTATTTTAATTTTTTCAATTTTTTTTTTTTTTTTTTGTAAAGTGATTATTTTAAGATAATTATTTAAATAATTCTGTGTTTATCCAAACCCAAACAAACTATATTGAATTTTAATCTAACAAACAAGATGCATAAGGGATTAGATTTGTTTATTTCTCCTCATATAATGTTTGAATATACCAGTATTGTTGTGTTAAAACTGCCTCCATATATTTCTATCAATATGTTGACTTGTAGAATTATGCATTGTTCTAGCTTTCTATTAATAAGCATTTTGATTGTCTTGGGTTTTATAGATGTTACTCTAGTCTTACTCCATTAAATTAAAGCAGCATCAAATACCTACATTCCCATTACCACCTAAGAATCTTGGTAAAACAAAGCAATGGCTAACTTTAATGTATTTTACCTATCAAGCATTTCAAGTCCATAAAACAGTAGTTTCATGTAACTATCAAAGTTACGTGCTTTTATTGTTTTACGGAGTAAATCATTTCTTATCCTAATCTTGTAATTCTATTTTATTTTTGACAATTTCAATAATTTTAAAAACTTAATCTTTTATGATTCTTTGCTTCTCTAAATACTAGATAGATTGCACCATATATCACTTACCAGTTATAAGTTTTAATTGTATATCAAACAAAGTTTTAAGTTATTAATTTAGAATATCTGATATTTTTGCTTCGCTAATAATCGACTTTTTGTCAAATTTTGACTTTTTGTTATGTTTTGACTTCGCTAAGTTTTGACTTCACTAAGTTTTGACTTCACTTAGTTTTGCCTTTTATGTAAAAATAAAAAAAAGTTTGATATATCAAAATTTTGATAATTTTTTTTTTATGTTTTTATCAAAATAATCTAATGGATAACAAAATTATTGTCATTATTTTATACAATTTTAGAAAATATTAAAAAGTAATGACAACAAAAACATAAAGAAAATATTTTTTAAAAATTTATGAAATACAAACGTTTTCTGAGCTTTTTTATATGCAATTAAATTAAAATTATAAAAAAAGAATTTTTGTAATTTTATTTCATAGTATTGACAAATACTATGAAATAAAATTACAAAAAAAGTCGACGTCTAACAAAATAAAAGCCAACAAGATTTAAAACTAATACCTTATATATTTCCTTTAAGTGTGCATGTGTGTGTGTGTGCATATGTGTGTATATGTGTGTGTGTGTACACACACACACACACTATATATTTAAACTTAAAATTTTTCAATTCTTTAAATCTTTAAATTATCATTTAATTTGTTTTAATTATTAAATTATTTATTATTTAAACTCTTTTTTGTTGAATTACTGCATTGTTTAACCATCTACTACATTATTTGGGAACTTTAAACAAAACTATAAGTTTGTATTATTTTCAATTTTAAAAAATATATGATTAAATAACACTTTGTTTTTTTGTGTGAACTTATTTGATATTAGCAAATGAGTTTTTTCTACTAGGTAAATGTGCTTGAACCACACCCAAACGAATGTATCTTAGCAACTGCAGGGCTTGATCATGAGGTTAAAATATGGATGCCAACTGGTGAAGGTTTTAATGACTTGGAAAAGTTGAACAAGGTATGCTCAAAAGTTGATTTTCGGTTAAATTAGTTTAAATCACAAGTTTTATTGTAAATGTACAAACAATCTAATGTACAAACAAGTGTCTATTTTGGTAATATTTATTTCAGCAAGTGAAAGTAAACCTTGAAGCTCGGCTTAATGATCGAAAACGTGCACCTGATCTATTTGAAAGTCAGCTCATATTTCTTATGGTCAGACATCATCAAAGACAACGAAGAGTAAGTGCGGACGTTTGTGTAAAAACCTTTATATTGAACTGTATTTTAAATTTTGTTTAAAATCAAGGGGAATAAAAACGATTTTTAAATTGCTGAAAATTCAAGTTTGCAATGATCTCCTAAAAGTTCAAGTTTGAAATGATCTGCTAGAAATGATTAGAATAAAACTAACAAATTTTCATTTTAATGGAAAAAAAATTGGATAAAAAAAATTGGCAAATAAAAAAAAAAAATTATTATTATTATTATGATAAATAATAGTAATTGATTTTATTTTGATTTTCAAAAAAGTAGACTCTTTAATTAACAACAACTTTAAAGTCTTCATAAAGGCTTTTGATTTAATTATATGATTAAATTTAAAATTATTTGTTTGATTTTATTAAAATAATTTGATTTAATTATGTGATTTTATTTAAAATTAATGTGATTTAATCAAAATTATAAAAATAATGCAAGTTTTAAAAAAAAAACTAATATGTAAAAACTGTTTTCAACTGATTATCAACTAATATATAAATTATATATTAGTTTTATATTATATAAAAATTAAAATAAATTTAACTGAAAACTAAAAAATTTTTTTTTATATAGAGGTGTTTATCTTAAAAATATTTTTATATAGAGGCGTTTATCCCAAAACGAAGATGGTTTAGAAGAGAACATTGATGACTCAAGTGACGACGATGACGACAACGACGATGATGATGATGATAATTTGTCTATGGATGATAACGATTCTTTAAATGATACTGGTGCAAGATGTGTACAGTCTTAATGTTTATATTCATTATAATATTTTTATGCAGATCTGCTCTATTGGTTGCAGGCTTTAAAGTTTACCGGCTACCGGTTTGACTAATTTTTTTGAAAGGAATATTTATTTCAATCACTCAACAAGATTTCGAAGTTGCATTATAATGCCATGAAAAGATATGCTTACAAGAGTTTAAACGTTGGATTATTATAACCACTGACATTTTTTCTTTTGACATTAGTTGCTATCGATATCTTTTTGTTGTTGACATTTTGTTGTTGCATTGACATCTTTTGGACATGTTGCTTTCCTTTATTTATTTTTTACAATTCAAAGAAACTTAAGCTTTAAAAAACTAAACAGGTTTTTTGTTCTAGGTTTTTTTTTTCTTTGTTTAACAAATGGTTTAACTAAAAATTATTTCTGTAAATAAGATAACTAATATTATTGGACGATTTGTAAATAAATCTTTTTCTATGAAAATTTAAATAAGATTGAATTATATTTGGGTTTCTTGTATATGTAATTTGCATTGATTACTAAGAAAAAAAACGATTTAAGTTCATTAACAGCTAAGCACTTTTTAACTTCCCTTTTTTTATGTAAATTTTTTTATATAATTATTTAAATTAAATTGAATTATCCTTGGGTTTCGCGTTTTTGTAATTTGCCACGATTAATATTTTTACTATTATCCATTTTTTTATAACTGATGTCTTAACAATCGTCGTATTCTGTTTAGTTTAAATAAACAATATGAAAGAGTCGAACCTAACGAGTATAATAATAGCGAATTTATTTTTATCAAACTGCAATTTTACTGACTGGTCTGTGACTGGTCTATGAAATAAATAACAACTTTAAACTGGTCTATGAAATAAATAACAACTTTAAAATATCTATAACTGGTTCAAATACAACAAATTAACCTTAAATGTAAAACTCAAGTTCAAAATAAAAATAAAAAGGACGACTTTTTTTATCATCGCCAGTAATGCGTTTAATATGTTTTAAATATTAATGTAAATTTATCTGCGCATTATTTTTAAAATTTTCTTACTAAAGAAATCAGCAACAAATGTATTTTGTGAAATAGTAACTTTTTAAATGAAAATTTTTTAGCTAATTTTGTACAACAAAGTTTAACTATTTTTGCACTGCTCGCCATGCGCTTTATTAAAAGGCAAATATAAAGGTATAAAGCAGTGCCAAAGATTCACTAATGATATGTTTATATGGTTCACAATTACAAGTATTCATCCATGATTACGTACCATCGCCCATGATTACGTACCACAATTTTATGATACATACCATAGTTTCTTTTCATTCATAAATATTTATTAATTTTATTATCAATTTATTAATAAGCTCCCTTGATAATTTGAAAAAAAAAACTTATGAAGTTATATGTAAGTACATTTTAAAGGTTTTTACAAAATATAAGTAGATTAGGTTATTTCACCTTGAGTGAAAAAAGAGATATTTTTAAAAGGATTAGCCTGTATTCAATCTTTTCAAACATTTTAACTAAAAAATTTAAGGGATTTTACTGGATAAAAGCAGCCGTGGCGCAGTGGTAGCGCACTTGCCTCAGAAACGTAAGATCCGTGGTACAAACCCCACCTCTGGGCAAGTTTTGCGTCATCGGTTGGGAAGGAGGCGTGAACTTCCTATTAAATGCTCTTCCGCGGTGCTCTGTGATAAGACCGTAAGGACTTCTTGAGGCACCTAATCAACTTAAAAAAAATAATAATAAACAAAAAATTGGCACTATAAATCATATTATGACCGGAGAAACAACTCCAATTCATTATACTTTCGCCTCCATGCTTAACTGTTGGTAATACATATTTGGGATTGACCCTTTCTTGTTTAGCACGTCTTACATAAAGAATTCCATCATTTCCAAATATAGAAAACTTAGATTCGTTATTGAAGAGAACTTTTCTCCAATCTCTTGCAGTCCAGTGTTCGTGACGCCTCGCAAATGTCATTCTGGGATCTATATATTTTTCCTACTCAACAATGGTTTTTTTACAGGCCGACTGGCAAATAAGTTAGCCACTTTAAGTGGCTAACTCTTACATTATCTAACTCTGTGTTAATTTTTGTAGCAAGTTTAAAAGGGTCTTATAATGAAAGTCTCTCTATCCTTTTAACATCTCTTTTTGATGTTTTTCTCGGTCTGCCAAGACGTTTTACATTAAATACCATTCCTTTTTTTTAAAAAATTGTTATTGTTTTTAAAACAACAGATTTGGAAACACTCCAATTTTACATTGTTTTGATTCCATTTTTATAGTCACTTATAACTCTTTCTTTAATTTCAATTGAAATATTTTTACTCGTAGCAATGTCAACTTAATGAAGACAACATATATATTATATATATATATATATATATATATATATATATATATATATATATATATATATATATATATATATATATATATATATATATATATATATATATATATATATATATATATATATATATATATATATATATATATATATATATATATATATATATATATTGGAGTGGTTCAGATTAAGGTGAAAACTTTTTTAAAACAAGAGTGAAGCTTATAAGGTGCACAGAACCTTGTTTTATATGTAAGATTTTTTTTAACTTAAAAACTTTAAAGACGTGCCACTCTTCAACATTATTGAACTAAATTTTTTTTATCTACTTATTCTCACAATGACTAATATTAAAAAAAAAGTGGGCACTCTTTCTGTATATTTTTTTTCGCAAGGCTAAAAAAGTTATAGAAAAAGTAATAAAGTAGACAAAAAAATTATTTCTCTATTTCTACGGTCTTTTTTATTAAAAAAATCCACTTTAATTAGTCGAATTATGAATAAGTTATTAAAATTATTATTTCGGATATCAAACTTAGTGAATTATCTAAAGTAAGGTGGATTAGCTCTCCCCTATTAATATGCCTTTCTTTTATGTTGCACTAGGACAACAAAATTAACGCAATATTAAACCTTTTTAAAACTATTAACAAATTATTGTTTAAAAATACTATTAGTTGTGTTTAATACTATTAGTTGTGTTTATACTATTAGTTGTGTTTAATGCTAAATCTATTTTCTTTTCATTTTGCCTACTTTTTTTTAAAAATGGTTGAACAAGAAGAAATTTTTTCTTCTCTTTGGTTGTTTTTCCAATCAGCTCTTTAACTAGTTTAATGGCCCTCTCTGATAAGTAATTGACCAAATCAAGAAATAAAATAATAATTTCAAACTCAAGATAAAAATAGTTGAACTTCCAGAACTGTGAAGGGATCTTAAGCCACTGCAATTCACTCTTTCCATGTTTAATCGTACCAAAGATAAGATTGCTCAGTTACTAGAGTACTAAGAGATGGAGGCTGATCTTCATCTTGTGGAGACTGATCTTCAAAATCTAGAAAGTGAAGAA